ATACTACTGTACCTGTTTTAAAATTATTTCCAGCAAAGTTTTACTTGCATGTAATATTAATGATACTGTTTGAAAATTTCCACATTCCATTGGAACCTGTGGTATATCAGTTTGTGCGTCAACTTGGCTGGGCCTGCTTGAGTGGCTGGGAAGCTGGATATAGTGTTCCCCATGATGAGACTAGTAATCAACTCCATAGTGCAATCTACTGTGAGCAGATGTTTTAGGGATGTGGTCTGCTTCCTGTATATAAGGTGAAAGCTTGGGAACGGTCTCTAGTTTATGGAATGCTTGAAACCTGGATGGAGCCATGTCATTGTTCAGCACCCTGCCATGCTCTGCTGACCTTGGGACTTTCAGTGGACTTGAATTAATGGCCTGCCATGTGGTTTGTTAATATCAGGACTGTGCCATTTTATTTGTTGACCTTGGGCTTGTTAGTCTCAGCAGCCAATAGCTGCCTGAGAAAAGAGATGACTCCAACTTGAGTGGGCCGGGACCAGGAGGCAGAGCTGAAGCCCAAGGTCGAGGGGCTTTCACACAGCCCTAGAGCCTAGGATTTTGAACTTGGACTTCTAGCTTCCTGAAATGTAAGAGAATAAACTCCTGTTTGTTCAAGCCATTCCATTTGTGGTATATATTCCTGTCAGAGTGGCCCTAGGTAACCAAAACAGAACACTTTCTTTGGAATGGGCACAAATATGGAGCTCTTCCAGTTGGCTGACCAGGTAGCATCTTCCAAATTTCTTGGCATAAATCAGTAAGTGCTTCCAGGGTTGCATCCATTTGTGGAAACATCTCAATGGGTATCCCATAAATTTCTGGAGCTTTGTTTTGTGCCAATTCCTTCAGTGCAGTCTTGACTTTTTCCTTAAATACCATTAGTTCTTGATCCTATGCTACCTCCTGAAGTGATTGAATGTTGACCAGTTCTTTTGCTACAGTGACTCTGTGTATTCCTTCCATTTATTTCGATGTTTCCTGCATGGTTCACTATTTTGCCCATAGAATCCTTCAATGTTGTAGTTTGAGGCTTGAATTTTTTCTTCAGTTCTTTCAGATTGAGAAATGCTGAGCATGTTCTTCCCTTTTGGTTCTCTTAACTCCAGGTCTTTGCACATTTCTTTGTAGTACTTCAACTATGTTATGTTAATCATGCTAGATGAGCAAGAAGTGCTAGGTACTCTGATGTCTTGAGAAGACATATGCACTCCAGAGGGTGGAAGATCATCTCTACACATGTTTGGAGCCTGTCACATCCATAACATTTTTAGCGGCCCAGTGGTCTGAGTTGGGTTGGTATTAAAAAACAAAACAACTACAAAAGCCTCACTGCCATCGAGTCAATTCAGTCTCATAGCAACCCCCATTGGGTTTCTGAGGTGTTAATCTTTATGGAAGTAGATTGCCCCATCTTCCTTCCAGAGTGGCTGGTGGGTTTGAACTGCCAACCTACTAGTTAGCAGTCACATGCGTTAGGCACTGTGCCACCAGAGCTCCTTTATATAGGTGTCAAAAATGAACTGCTGCTTCACTATAGCCCCATTCAGGGATGACTCTAAAAGACAGTGATGAGGAGAAATACTCCCAGTGGGCAGTGCTTTGATCAATGAAACAGTGTATGGAGAGGAAAATAGCCTGAGGTAAGAGCAAGAACAAATACAATCAGAATGCCCCTTAGACGTGAGGATGGTGAGACTATGGCTGGCTAACTTTGGACATGTCATTAGCAAAGACCAATCAATCACTAGAAAAGGACGTCATGTTTGGTAAAGCAGAGGATCCAAGAAAACGAGGGAAACCCTCAATGCAATGGGTTGACACAGAGCTGCAACAATGGACTCAAACGTACAACAGTCATGAAGAGGTGCAGGGCCAGGCAACACTCAGTTCTGTGGTACACAAGGTCACCAGGAGTCAAAGCTGACTCATGACAGCTAACAACAACAACAACATAGACTTATGGACAGAGGTGAGTGGCTCAGCTAGCTGGCTGGGGACTTGAAAGAAGCAATATTAGATAATCAGGTACAAGGAAGTCCACAGAAGAAGCAGTGGATGGATTTATAGGAGTAGGCACAAAGGGTGATCTCTGTTTTACAGGTTGGTGCCCACTAAAGACCATCCATTCTAGAAGAGGTGCTCAGCAATCAGCTGGACAGGATGACTTGGCCACTAGATGCCAGCCAGCCTCTGTCCTTGGACACTGCAGTGTTCACTTACTGAGATCATTAGTGGAGCTCCTCCATGGTGAAAAAGTTGGAGGCTGTACAGAGGCACCAAAGCATGGGCTCCCTCTCACCAACACTGATCGAGTGCTACTGTCACATGCTCAACCTGCCAGCAAGAGACCAACACTGAGCTAGTTTATACTAGTATATACTATTTTTTGAGAAAACCAACTGGCCATTTGGTAGAGAATTGATTACACTGGTCCCTTCCACCCTGGACAGGGTCACGTTTCTGCCTGTAGTGCCTCAGCAGCCTCTCTCCAGGGGCTCACAATGTTTCATCCATCAACAGAGGATGTTCAATACATCACATTGCCTAAGACACCTCTTTTACCACAGAGGAGGTGCAGTGGTGGGCACCCAGCTATTGTACCCAACCGCCTGCTGTACCTCCAGAAACTACTGCTCTGATAGAACGATGGAAAGGCCTCCTAAAAGACTAGCTGAGATGTCAATTTGGAGATGACACCTGCCAGGATGGGACAGTATCTTTCAGGATGCAGTATGTAATTTAAATCAATGGTCATTACATGGTTCTGTGTCCCCAACAGGTCTAGGTGGCCCTGCTCACTATCATTCCCAGTGACACACTTGGAGAATTTGTGCTTCCTGTCTCTGCAACTTCAGACTCTGTGAGTTGAGGTCCTCATCTCCAGAGGGGGAAATTTCTGCCAAGTGACACCATAAGAGTTTCACTAAACATAAAGCTTCAGCCGCTGCTCAGGCACTTGGAGTTCTGTGTGCTGGTAAATTGGAAAGCAAAGAGAGGAGTTAGCATTCTGCAGAGAGGTGAAGTCACTACCTAAGAGGAGGAGGCAGGGAGGAGTATGTCTGGCACGTGGATGATCAAAGCTGTCTTTTGATGCTCCCATGCCCAGCTCTAATTATAGAAGGGCATATAGAGCAATCCAAGCCTAACAAAGGCATGGTAAGCAGGGCTTAGATCCCCTCAGTCAAGAGGACAGTGTCAACCCACCAGACCAGCAGATGTGCTGGCCAGAGGAGAGGGGCCCTTGGGGGGGGCAGCAGAAGAGAGAGATGAAGTGCCTGTTTTGGCATAGGTCCAACCGCATCAGTGGAGGCGATGGTCCGTCCTCCCCCATTGACCTACCTCTTGTGCACTTCCCCTGAAATTGTGACCGGTCAGACTCTGGAGCAGCTCTTCCCAGATGGAAGCAGGTGGAGCCATGTCAGGTAAAGGGTGGGCTGCAGTAGGTGTCATGCCCACCTACCATTCACCTGCCTGAGTCTCACATCCCCCAGCATTGTTGAGTGCTGCCAGATAAAATTCACAGTTGCCCATCACCCTCTCCACCCCCCCCCCCAACTGTCCTTTTGCTGAAACAGGAGCTGCTGTGCGAGGCTGCAAGCTGCCCCCTCCACCTCTCTTCCCCACGCACCTGGCCACCTGGCCCATGACTCCGTGGGGCAGCCTGCTCTCCGTATCTTCCATGGGGTGAGGCTATAGCTGGCCTCCATCCCAGACCATAGTCCTGCATAACTTTTTGCCTTCTGCTCTTTCTCCTGAGAGAATTTCCCAGGAATCTCTGGGGAAAGAATTCCCTTCTCAGGCTCTGCTTCCAGGAACCTGATCCAAGAGTTATGTAAAGCCAGCAATGATGCTGAGTTAAGTATGTGAGTTACAGCTCAGTAAAGTGGTTATGTTTCAGAAACCAATGGTGATTACAGACATCGGTCACCTTTCACCCTGCCCACCAGTGTGATTCCAGGTGAAACCTCTTGAACTGAAAAGGTATCAGTCATTTAGATGGGAAAGATGTTTGGTTTTGAGCTTCTAAGTTCTACCCATTATCGTGCGAACACCAAACTCCCCTGGAAGGATCTCACTCATACTACTGCTGTCATCAACTTGGGTCACACAGGCATGAGTTTCCCTCATTCCTGTGTGGAAGAGCTGCAAGTTATCTATGGTGTTTATGTTCAGTACTGAAGACCCACACAGCACACACATATTCTCCACGTTGACATAATCCAACCTTTATTGTAAAAAAGACAAATAATTAAAATAATGCAAATGATGCGTGAGATTATCGTACATTCTGGTGAGCCACTCCTGTGGAGGCAGCCAGGTGGCCCCTAGACAGCCCTTGGCCGTGCACAGGGGTGCAGCACCATGGGAGCCCCCAGAGACCCCAAGGCAGGCCTCACATGCTGAAGGAGGCCCAAGGAAGCTCCTCTGGACGCAGGTTCTTACGAGCTGAGAAGGCATGTCTTGAGACATGCCTGGCCAGACTTGCTACCTACCAGCAGTCCTGTCTGTCACTAAATATGGCAGGATGGAAGGTACACGGCTTGCTCTACTTGTGGCCACAGCTTCTCCCCTTGCCCAGGCACTGACCACATCCGTGAGTTCCTGAGACACAGCTGGCACCCAGAAACCCAATGGGCAGCTCTCTGCTCAAACCATCTGTACAAGCAGGCCAGCAGACTAGAGTATTGGACCACGTGGAAAAGTACAGAGGCCCCCAGTCTGCAGGGTGGCAGTGAGATGGTCAGGGTTAGGAATCATTCCTTTGGTGGAAATGCAAGGACCAGGCCCTGTGGGCAGTGTGTGTGGGGTTACTTTTATTAGGGACCTGTGACTCCTGTCACTGTCTGCTCCTGGGAAGGTGTGGGCTGGACATCATGGTGGGGACTTCAGGAGAAGTGGGTGTGCAGGAGGGGTGGGAACCGACTCAGAGCTGGTGAGGTGCTGGACGGAGGGGTATTTTCAGCCTGGCGTGGAGAGGCTTCTCTGGACTTCAGCACTCAGGAGGCAGGTGGGCTCTCGGTGCTGCCCTGCTGCCCTTGGCCAGGCCCCTCCTCCTCTTTCTGTTCCAATTCAAAGTTCTGTAAACAAAGTGGCAGGTGAGGCCTGGCCATGCATGTGCTACTCACAAAAGCAGGAATGAATCTCACTCTTTGGCTCACATTCCATATCCTGACACGCAGCTCACCTACCTCCAGTTCCTGCAAAACCTCATCCATGAAATCCCTGGAGTTCTGTTTGTAAGACACAGCCAGCCGAATTGCATCATTGAAGAGCTGGGGCAGGTGGGGACAAGCAGAAAGATAGCAGAGGTTGGGTGTGTCCTGGCCTCCTTCACCCACCCCACCCCATTGGCTCCACCTTTCCCATCCTGCTTCCTGGCACAGCACCCCTCCCCTCCTCCACATCTCTGCCACCCTCTATGCAAGCCCTTCTTTGAGGTGCCCTGGTCAAATCATAATCCTCCCCTTTTTGCACCCGTTTCCGGCCGCATTGGACTGCGCTTACTGCAACCCCCCAACCTGCACTGGACTGCCCCCTCTGCCACAGGTGCACTGGAACTGTACTCCTTTTGCCTCCCCCCCCCAGCTGCATTGGACTGCCTTTGCCTGTTCCCTGCCACTGCTGCACTGGACTGTCCCTGCTCCCCTCCCCCTCCCCAGCCGCACTAGACTGCCCTTTGGAGCCCCTTTTACCTTCACGACGTTGGTCCCATCAGCAGCTGAGACGAAGTAGAGGGGCAAGGAGAACTTCCTGGCAAAACTGAAGGTCTTTTGGGTCACCTTTATGTCTGCTGTAGAGAGAAGGTAGGGCATGCCATGTCCATGTGGGAAAGGGGAGGGGGTGGGGGGTGGGCCACAGGAAGTGGGGTGCTGGGGCCACAGCCTGCATCCCAGAACAGAGTCAACCAATGGGCCTTCGCCTTGGGCAAGGGCAGGCTGTCTCTTGGGAGGGGATGGAGTGTTGAAAGGATGTTGTCCCAGGAGAGAAGGGATATGTGGTGGTGGTCCTCAATGCCCACCATCAATCTTATTGGCCACTACGATGCAGGGGATCTCAGGCCTGAATTCCCGAAGCTCCGTGTACCAGGTGCTCAGGTTCCTATAGGTGACTTTCCTCTGCACGTCAAACACCTGCAAGGAGCAGAGGCAGTGGCTCAGGACCTCAGTGTCTCTGTGCTCCACCTGGGAGCCTGAGCGAGCGGGTGAGTGCAGCCCTCACGTTCTGGGCCCTGCTCTATGATGCAGCTCCTCCAGCCAGAGGCTGTGCCACCTGGAGCTGAGGAGCAAACGTGATGCATTCAGACCTCTCATCCCTTCTCCGTTCATCTTATTTACCCGTTTTAACCACCGTAAGTTACACACGTATTGAAGGGCACAGGCCGTTTCCCACCTGTCAGTGTGTCTTGCAGTGGTTGTGTCCCCCATGGTGGACCGGCTTCAGAGTAGCTTCCAGACTATGACAGACTACCAAGAAAGGCATGGTGCTCTGCTGAAAACTGACCAATGAACATTTATGGATCCCAGTGGAACACCATCTGACTCGCCTGCCCTGGACATGTCCATCAGCAGGGATCCACGGCTGGAGGAGGTGGTCACATTTGGTAAAGCAGAGGACTGACGAGGGCAAGGACGACTCTCAGTGACGTGGACGGTCAAATAGCTGCAATGACAGCCCAGAGCACACCTGCAACGGGGAGGACGATGCGGGACCAGGCGCTTCCTCCTGTTGTACATGGGTTTTCACGGGTTGGGGTCTATGATGACGCAACGGCAGTGGCCACATTTAATTTTGTTTTGTTCTTAAGTCTATTTTGGTATTTATTAAGCTTTTTGCAAACCCCTTTGTCACCCTTTTAGATGTCTGTAGGGTTTTCCTTTAGTGATGCCAGGTTTATTTTAAATGTTTGTAGGGTTTTCCTTTAGTGACTCTGGGTTTATTTTCAGTTGTCAGCTTGCAACTTTCCATTCACCTCCACTACTCTAAATTTTTAAACAGTACTTTTTACCTTTTATTCTTTTGTAGCTTTTTGTCATGACCTTTTATAATCTAACTCTCCAACGTGCTGTTTCCAGCTATTTAACCTATTGTACCCTCTCAGCAGGGCCATGACCTGAGCCCAGCTCTGAGTGACTGAGGGGCATGAGTCACTGCCACAGCCTTCCACTCAGACTTAGAAGCTGCGCACGTGCCTGGGAGTGGTCGAGTCCAGACATTAGCTGCAATGCTGGCCCCTCTGTGGCAGCACCAAGTCCAGGGCCAGGTTGGGACGCAGTGTCACCAAGGGACTCCAGTGAAGATTTCTTGTGTGGCATGTTCGCAGTGAACCTCTGGAAGCTGCCTGCACAAGCCGTCTTGTCATTTGTCACTTTTGTCTGGTTCTGAGCATACTCGTGGTGGTAGGTGCTCCCAGCTTCCTCTTCTCCCTTAGAGCTGTGCCCTCGGGCATGCAGCTGGGGCGCCTTCAGGGATGGGCAGCACCAGGACAGACACCTCTGAGCCTCAGAAGCAGGGCTAGAGGCAGGTGAGGTAGCTCCCAGGAGGGAGTGCTCCTTGGCAGGGGTTCTCCGTCCCTAAATCCAGCACCAGCACACAGATGGGGTCACACGCCAGGATCGATTTTAACGGGAATCTCTGAGGCAGTGGTACTGAGGCAGGCCTGGAAGAGGGCAGTGTCAGGAGAGATAAGTGTGAATGGGAGCTGAAGGGGCAGCTTGAGCAGGTGGGGACAGAGAGCAGATGGCAGACCCCTCTCATCCCTCTTTCTGACTACATGTCACCACCACAATGGACATGAGATTAAGACTTCACCTAGCTGTGGGACACTGCTCTTAGAATGGGCCATGAGGAAGCACCAAGCAGCCTCTGAAAGGTCATTGATGTTGCTGTTGCATGCAGCAGCCAGCCAGACTCCTGAGCCAGGCTCCTGTGCACATACGATGGTGTTACAGCACGCATTGTGCTGAACTGGACTGACAGGCTCCACTCACAGGGCTCACAGTTAGAGAATGTTCCCATGGTACACTGGAAAGCAAGCAGACCTGAGTGTTTTCTGAGAAGTGGGTCAGCATCCAGATGCACTGGCTGAGGCCCAGGCTGGCTTGTTTATGACAGACGCAAAGCGTGGGTGTGCCCCAGTGGTCACTGCCTCCTCCCTGGGGTCTCACAGTGGGAAGGGACGAATGCTTGGAAGGTGAAGCTCTCCCAGCTCAGGTGTCTCAGTTCTCTAGAGCTGCCTTAACAGAAATACCACAGGTGGGTGGCTTTGACAAACAGAAATGTATTCTCTCTCAGTTTAAGAGGCTAGAAGTCTGAATTCAGGGTGCTTGCTTGAGGGGAAGGCTGTCTCTCTGTCGGCTCTGGAGGAAGGTCCTTGTCTCTTTTAACATCTGTGGGCCACGTGTTCCTCAGAAATCTCTGTCTTGGCATCAATGTTCCCCTGGGCCTAGAGGTTCTCAGTGCAGGGACCCCAGGTCCAAAGGATGCACCCCATTCTTGGCTCTTCTTTCTTGGTGGTTCCTAGGTCCTTCTCCTCTTTGCACTCTCTCCTTTTATCTCTTGCAAGACAAAAGGCATGACTGGAGCAAGGGCATGACTAGAGCAGGGTGGTGCCACTCAAAACATTCCATCCTAATCCTGCCTCACAGAGGCTTTAGGATTTACAACGCATGAAATGGAGGTATGTTACACAATTTCACACAGTTTGATCCCTAACTCTGAGGAGGAAGGTCTCTGCATGTGCTCACCTGCCTGCAAGGAGGCCCTCACCTTCTCCACCTGCTGTGTACCTGGCAACTTGCTGAAACAGCTCGTCCCCACCCCAGAGAAGGTCACTGGGCAGAAGCCTCACCCAGGAGCTCCCCACCCTGCCACCCTAGCTCCCACCCTCACCCGCATCTGTACCATGATGCAGGCGTGGGCCTTGTGGTAGTAGGAGGCGTGCATGCTCTGGAAGCGCTCCTGGCCCGCCGTGTCCCAGAAGTCTGCAACAGAGACACAGCTGTGAGCACGCCCCCACCACTGAGCACCCATGGAGTCTACAGAATCACGGACCAAGTGTGTGTGGGGAAGGCCAAAGATGTGGAGATATGCCATGCCATTCTGCACATGGGGTCAGGAGGCAGTGCATCTGGGTCAGGGGTGAGAGGCTGCTGGGTGCATGCATGCTTGTCTGCACATGTATCTGTGTGTGCGTGTGCAGACTGTTGGTGCCAGGGGTGCTGTGTGGATATGTCTAGCTCTTCCTTCTAGTCCATCAGACGTGCTTCAGATATTCTGCAACTCTGACTGTCGGGGTGCACATTGAGGACTGCTGTCTTCTCAGCAGATATACACACATGCAGATAGAGACAAGCACGTGTGTGCGCGCACACAGAGATAACAGATGCACACGCAGATACAGAGACAGGCACATATGCACACAGATACGCAGACACATACACAGATGCTCATGCAGACAGACAGGTGCAAATGCACAGATGAACAGACACACAAACAGATGCATAGGCAGATAAAGGCAGACGAGCACACACAGACACAGAGACAGGTGCAAACGCACACAGATGCACACACATACAGACTCAAATGCACAGATGAACAGATGCACACACAAACACAGATGCACGGATGCCCTCAGAGAGAGACGGGTGCACACAGACGAACAGCTGCACATGCAGATACAGAGATAGGCACACATGGCCACATGCTACAGACAGGCGCAAATGCACACAGATGCACACACACACGCAGGTGGGCTTGCAGACAGACAGGTGCAGATGCACACAAATGCACCGATGCCCATACAGATGCACTTAGATAGGTGTAAACATATACAGATACATACACGCCCCCACACACAGAAGCAATGCAGGTATAGACAAGTACACATGTATACACACATGCATGTGTGTCTGTGTCCACATCTGTGTGTACATTCAGACCACACTGGATATTTCCCTATATTGGCTGACTGAACCCCCAAGACTCTGGAGAGCTACTGCCTTGAACCTGTGTGTCCCATCTTCCCTCTGGCCGGCACAGCCCCCCACTTTCTATACCCCCATACCCCATGCTGGCTGAGATGCTGGGTCAGTGCCCCCTTTATGTCCCCAACCCCCCTAGCCTCCTGGCTGTCAGGGTCTTCTGTACCACCCCTCAGCCCTCCCTGGAGTCTCTTTGCCTTCTTCTGTGACCCTAACCCATCCTTTCTCCCCTCTTTACCCACCTCAAAGCTGCCCTCCCTCTCCCGGGGGCTGCTCACCCACGAGGACAGTCTTGCCATCCACTGTGGCCGTGTGCTTGTACAGGGTCAGGGCATATGTGGACAGCTGCTGGGGCTGACTTAGGGCAGGTCAAAGAGCCAAAGACACGCAGGAGGGCCTCAGACTTGTAAGCTATACAGGTGGATGAGCTCCCTGAAGACAGAGGACAAGCCCCAAACACTGCTGGCATGAGCAGTCACCCCAGTGGGCACCTCTGCAAAGGAGGAGGGTAGAGGGCCTTGGAGTGCCTGGGCCATCTAAGTCCCAGGAAAAAACAGGGAGTAGAATTTTCCAGAGAAGCTGTCCTGAATGCTATCTTGAAGCTAGAAAAATGCAGGGAAGCCCCAGCCCCAGGCTGTATGTAGATCAAGGGGCTGGTGGGGTGGGTAGGTGGGGTGTCGCTCTGAGAGCCTGGGGGAAGGAAGGGCTGGCAGCCTGTCTGTGAAGTGCATTCACACCAGACGGGGGGTCTTGAATGTCAGGGGCCAGAGCCTGGAGATCAGTGCCACTGGTGAACAGAGGCAGTCAATGCAGCCTTTGGTGTGAGAATGGGGACCCCCCTCCAGAAGGGGCTGTGAGGCCCGCGGCGGTAATGGGCAGGGTGCAGGGAGGTGACCGAGGGAGCTGGAAGGGGAGAGGGATCACAACACTAGACAGACGGAGGAAGGGCAGCTCCTGCTGTGAAAGCCCTCCTGGGGTGCGGGAGGGCACGCAGGGTGGGTGCACGGGGAGAGCCTTGTGAGGCTGTGCAGATCAGGAAACGAGGCTCGGCTCGGAGAGGATAATTGACTCGTCTAAGAGCCCCTGAGGAGGAGGAGAGGCAGGAAGAGAGGATAGGAGGAGGGAAGAACAGACCTGGGCCAGACTGTGACTCTAGACCAGGCCCCGTGAGCCGTCAACTGCACGCATGTGCTCCAAAACACGCAGCACCACGTGACCGAGACCTGTATCTCTACTGCCTCGCTCCTCAGGGAGGGGCCGCTGGGGGGTTGGGAGGGCTGCAGGTGCAGATGAGGGGGAGATCGGGAGGCCTGTGGGTGTGGGATCAAGTGCAGAGTGGGGGTCAGGAGGGCTGTGGAGGCAGGTGCAGGGTGGGGGCCAGGAGGGCTGCAGGTGCGGGAACAGGTGCAGGTCTCCCCTTAAAGGATACAATCCATCCATGAGGAATCGCTCCATGAGTCTGCAAGGAGAATAGGGAGGGGTCAGCCAGTGTCCTTGCCATGAGTCCCTGCTCACACAGCCTCTTCCTGGGATGGACAGCATGGGGCTGCCTCCATGGTAGCCCCAACCAGCAGCACAGTGCTTCACCTCCTTGGGCGGGGCCGCTGGGGGCACAGCACCTGACCACTAGGACCAGCTGAAGAAATAATGGCTACTGGAGCCCGGCCATCTGTCTACATGGGAGCAGTCCATGTGAAACACAAACTCAACCATCCAAAGTGAGTCCGAATGGCCTGCTGACCTGGCCCTACGCCTGGACCTGCAGACCAGAACCGACCCTTCCAGCCTGTCCCAACACGAGCACACACCTACCAGCAACTGTGCATTCTGCAGCACGCGTGGGGAAGCCAAGGCCGAGAGGCTGTGCCCCCTGCTGGAGCCGTCCCCACAAGCTCTGCTCATGTGTGCCTGAGCAGGGAGATACCCCATCACTCCACCTGCAACAGGAGACCTCTAACCCTTCCATCCTCAGCTGTTCACAGAGAAGTCTTTCCTTTAAAGGTTACGGCTGATGCCCAGTGCCTAGAGCCAAGTGGACTGTGGAGTGTGATGAGCGTTTGAACAAGAGGGTGTGAACACAGTGAACAAGCTTAATACAACCCTGAGTCCAGCCACAGAATGTATGTTCCTCTCCAGCTTACACAGCCACTGATCACCAGTTAGACCACACAAACCAAAAACCCAGACCCACTGCCACTGAGTTGATTCTGACTCATAGTGCCCCACAGAGTTTTCCAAGGCTGTCAATTTTTATGGAAGCAGACTGCCACAGGTTGGTGGGTTTCAACTGCTGACCTTTTGTTTCAACTACTTGTGTCACCAGGCTCCTACTTACGACCATATATATAAATCTCAAAACAATACCCTCCACCAAAATGTATTATCAAGATCAAGTTGTCTGCGTGCAGTTAAGTTGCAAATAAAAAACGAAAACAAGTTTTAACACCCTATATATTTGAAAACTGAAAAACAACCAGACATTCAAACCTACTTCTAAATAACTTGTAGGTTGGAAAAGAAATCATGAAGAACACAAGAATTATTTAGGGCAGAAGGATATTTTAAAATGCCTACATAATTTCTGCTTATGGAAAAATGGAGATGACCTTCTGCCTCTTTCCTGGTTCAGATGGCGGAAACCCTGGGCATTAAATATAAAGCAAACAGCAGGCAAGTGCAAAGGGAGGCGGCCACTGGAGGCGGCCTCTGGGCTCCGGTGCTGACTCTTGAGTTATCCTCTACTTCAGTTATCCCAGACTTGGAGCTGAAGAAGCCATCAGTCTGAAAGACCAGTGAGAGCAGACAAAAAGCCCCCATAGGACATGCTCTCTTTGGCCAAAGTACCAGGAAAGGGTTGGGCAGCAAGATGAAAACTTCTTGCCCAGTCAAACACCCTAGAAAAAACCATGGCCCCACCACCCGCTCCGGCAGCAATGGCCAAGTAGGGAGCTAGGTCCTCCACACTGGTGAGGCTGGTGTCCGAGGTCTAGCTGGGGACTGGAACTTTCATCCCTGTCTGGTGGTAACAAGGCCCACCCAATGGTGTCGGGGGAGTGGGGGAGCCTGGACTGCTAGCCTGTTCTGGGTTGCACTGTGTCCTCCAGAAACGGATCTTGGGTTCTCAGCCCTGAACCTGTGAACATGACTGTTGGAAGTCGTGTCAGCTAACATGAGGCCATACCGGAACAGGGTGGGTCCTAATTCAGTGTGACTGGTATCCTAACCAGGGAGCTCTGGTAGTGTAGTGCCTAAGGCATTTGACTGCTAACCAGAAGGCTGGTGGTTCAAACCCACCAGCCACTCCTTGGAAGGAAGGTTGGGCAATCTACTTCCACAGTGATACCACCTTGGAAACCCAAGGAGGGTGTTCTGGCTCCCTAGTACCGCTCTGACAGGAATATCCCACAGATGGGATGGTTTAACAAACAAGAGTTTATCCTCTCACAATTTGGAGGCTAAAAGTCCAAGTTCAAAGTGCCAGGCTCTACGGGCTGGGTGAAAGCCCCTCGACCATGGCTTCAGCTCTACCTCTTGTTCCTGGCCCACTGAAGCTAGAGGCATCTCTTCACTCAGGCAGCTAGTGGCTGCTGGGGCTGACAAGCCCAAGGTTGAGAAGTGAAAAGGCACAATCCTAATATCACCAAACCACACAGCAGGCCATTAATTTAAGTCCATTCTAAGTCCCAAGGTTGACAGAGCATGGCAGGCTGCTGAGCAATGACTCAGCTACATGCAGGGTCCAAGTGTGCCATAAGCTAAAGACCATTCCCAAAGCTGCTGCTTATATACCAGAAGTAGACCACACACTCAAAGGCAGCTACTCAGCTCCTCACAGTAGATTCCACCATGGAGTAGACTACCAGTCTCATCATGGGGAATACTACAGCTGCCCAGCCACTCAACCAGGCCCAGCCAAGTTGAAACAAAAACATAACCACCACAGAGGGGTTTCTATGAGTTGGATCTGACTTGATGGCAGTGAGAGTACCCTTACAGGAAAAGAGACCTGGAGACAGACACACAGGAGAGAGGCCACATGAGGCAGGGATGGGTGGTGCTGCAACAGGCCAAGGACAGCACTCCTGGAGGGCTCCCAGCCTCCAGAGCCCGTCTGAAGCACCTCACGGCAGCAGCCTCAGGAACAAGGACACAACCCTGCAGTCATGAGGATGGTGAGCGGTGTCACAGGAAGCCAGCTAAAAGAGAAGGCATACAGAAGATCCAGACTCTTATAACTGAATACTCAAAAAAAGCCTGCATTTCAACAGAACCAGGAAAAGCTCCAGCTGAGTGAAGAAAGATAAACAACAGCCAGCAACCCTGAGATGACACAGATGTCTCAGTCATCTGACAAGCTTTTAAAGCAGCCATCACAAAACGCTTCAATGAGCAATTATGGGTTGCTTCAGACTGGTAGCGTAGTGCCTAAGACACTTGACTGCTAACCAGAAGGCTGGCAGTTCAAACCCACCAGCCACTCCTCGGAAGGAAGGTTGGGCATTCCTACTTTCGTAGTGATACTGCCTCGGAAACCCAAGGAGGGGTCGCTATGAGTCGGGGCCGACTCGATGGCAAATAACAACAACAACAACAAATCAGACCAATGAAGGAGCTCCGGTAGCATAGCGGTTAAAGCATTCAGCTGCTAACCAAAGGGTCGGCGGGTCCAGCCAACCAGTCACTCTGTGGGAGAAAGAAGAGGCAATCTGCTTCCATAAACATTTACAGAGTTGGAAACTCTATGGGGCAGTTCTCCTCTGCCCTCTAAGGGCACGGTGAGTCAGAACTGACTCGATGGCAGTGGGCTTGGGTTGAAACAAACAGAAAAAACAGGAGGTCTCATCAACAAAATGGAAGATATAAATGAGAATCCAAATAACCAAGATGGAAAACTTATGGATGGGGTCAGAGCAGGACAGAACAGACAGACCATCCATAAATGCTGAGACCAGCAGGCTGCAGAAAAATCATGCACGTAGGGAATTGATGCAAATGGTTATGGGTTGGACTAGTAACCGAAAGGGTTGATTCAAACTCACCCTGAGTGCCTCGGGAGACTGGCCTCGCAGTGTTCTTCCAAAAGGTCACAGCCTTCAAAATCTTAGGCAGCACTTCTATTCCATACACATGGGGTCACCACAGGCTGGAACTGACTGGATGCCAACTACCAACAGTAACTTAACAACCACTGTGAAAGCTATGGGAGCTCTGGTGGTGCAGTGCCTACGGCATCTGACTGATAACTAGAAGGCTGGTGGTTCAAACCCACCAGCCACTCCCTGGGAGGAAGACTGGGCAATCTACTTCCGTAGAGATACCACCTCGGAAACCCAAAGAAACACACTCAACAACACTATAAACCAAAAACCAAACTCACTGCCACTGAGTTGATTCTGACTCATAGCTACCCCCACCGGGTTTCCGAGGCAGTAAATCTTTACAAAAGTAGATTGCCCCATCTTCCTTCTGTGGAGCGACTGGTGGGTCTGAAACACCAACCTTCTGGTTAGCAGTCAATGCCTCAGGCCCTTAACAGTATAAATAATTCATAACAGGTGAAAATAAAAAAAGTCCCAATAACTGCTCCCCCCACACAAAAACCACACTCACTCACAAGAAGGCAGGAAAACCAAAATCAAAACAACAGAGATGAGAAACAGAAGAAAAGAAACATATGATTGGCTTATTCAAAATGACCAATGCCAGTCCATTACAGCTCACTAATGCCTAAGAGAGTGATCTTCATGTGTTCCATTTCATTTTTGACAGCTTCCAATTTTCTTAGATTCATACTTCGTGCATTCCACATTCCAATTATTAATGGATGCTTGCAGCTGTCTCTTCCCATTCCGAGTCGTGCCCCACCAGCAAATGGAGGTCCCGAAAGCTCTACTCTCTCTACATCATTAAGGCCAACTCTACTTTGAGGCAGCAGCTCTTCCCCAGTAGTACTTTGAGTGACTTGCAACCTGAGCGCTCATCTTCTGGTACTATATCAATGTTTTACTGCTGCTATACATAAAGTTTTCTAGTAATATATCAGTGTTTCACTACTATTCATAAGGTTTTCAGTGGCCAATTTTTTAGAAGTGAAAAATTTGAATTGTGGTGTGGGTGAAAAATACTGAAAATACCATGGACTTCCAGAAGAAATAACAAATGTGTCATGGATTAAGTACAGCCAAATGCTCTTCAGAAGCAAAAATGGCCAGGCTTCTTCTTCTAACCTTTTATGGTCATGTTGTCAGAAGGGACCAGTCCCTGGAGAAAGATATCATGCTTGGTAAAACACAGGGTCAGTGAAAAAAGGAAAGGCCCTCCACAAGATGGCCTAACACAGTGGTTGCAATGATGGGCTCAAGCTTAAGGACTGTGAAGATTGTGTAGGACTGGGCTGTTTTGTTCTGTTGGACAGAGGATTGCTATGAATCAGAACTGAGTCGATGGCACCTAACAACA